ATCGAATCACAAAAAAGTCGAAGGCCAAGATCTCTTAGAAGAGATCAACTTGGGGAGTATAGAAGACCGAAAGCCTACTTATGTTAGCAGGTATCTCGACAAAGAAATGAAAAAAGATATGATTTCATTATTGGAAGAGTATAAAGATTGTTTTGCTTGGGATTATGAAGAAATGTCTGGTTTGGATCAAAGTCTAGTCGAACATAGATTACCTATCATAGAAGGCAGGAAGCCAGTAAAACAAGCCCCGAGAAGATTTGCACCTGAGGTGATGGGTAAGATTAAAGAAGAGATCGAGAGACTTCTGAAAGCAAAGTTCATTAGGCCTGCCAGGTATGTCGAGTGTATTTCTAATATTGTTCCAGTTATTAAAAAGAATGGTAAAATGAGAGTATGCATTGATTATCGAGATTTAAATTTAGCAACTCCTAAAGATGAATATCCTATGCCAATAGCAGATATGCTAATAGATGCAGTAGCTGGTAATGAAATGTTAAGTCTGTTAGATGGTTATTCAAGATATAATCAAATTTTTGTTTCCCAGAATGATATAGCTAAAACAGTTTTTCGATGCCCGGGGGCATTGGGTACTTATGAATGGATAGTGATGTCATTTAGATTGAAAAATGCAGGGGCAACATATCAAAGAGCAATGAATTTAATTTTTCATGATTTGATCAATGATTTTATGCAAGTTTACATAGATGATATTGTTGTTTTATCGAAAGAAAAGCATAAACATTTGGGTAATTTAAGAAAATCTTTTGAAAGAATGAGAAAATATGGATTAAAAATGAATCCCTTGAAATGTGCTTTTGGTGTGTCTGCTGGTGAATTTTTAGGATTCATAGTGCACGAAAAAGGGATCGAGATCGATAGGAATAAAGCAAAAGCTATATTAGATACTTCTGGTCCAAAAACTAAAAAACAGTTGCAATCATTTTTGGGAAAAATAAATTATTTAAGACGATTTATTTCTAACTTGGCTAGTAAGACTTATGTTTTTTCGTCTTTGTTAAAGTTGAAAACGGAAGCAAATTTCAAATGGAAGGAAGAACATCAGGAAGCCTTTGAGCAGATCAAATTGATGTTGACAAATCCTCCGATTTTGATACCAGTAATGAGGAACAAGCCATTGAAACTATATGTATCAGCATCATATCGAACTATAGCCAGTCTACTAGCACAAGAGGATAAGAATTGTGTGGAATGTGCTGTTTATTATCTAAGTAGAATCTTAAATGATGCTGAAACTCGATACAACGATATCGAAAAGTTAGGATTATGCTTGTATTTCTCTTGTACGAAACTCAAGTATGTAATGAAGCCTCACGATGTGATAATTTATTCCATAAATAATATTTTGAAATTTCTTTTGTCGAAACCTATTATCGAATAGGAAAATGGGTGCTAGCTTTGACAAAATTTTCATTATCGTTCGATATACTTTTGAAACAGCAGTTAAGAAATCAATTCGGACCTCAGATTTGTGAATAAGGGCTTTACTTTCTGAGGGAAGGCTGAGGGAAGAAGAAAACAACCCACCACAGTAACGGATGAGACCACCAAACGCATAATCTATATTATCAACGGTGTAAGAAATAAGTACCTGAGTCTCGACAATCTTTTGCGAAGCCTCTTCCATTAAAGGGACTGGAGAAAATTTCTTTCCATTAATCTCTATCAGAGTTGAAGTTACCGAAGATAGTGGTGGGGTGGAGAAGTCGGAGGATCTGGAAGTCGCCATTACAATTTGTGGAAAGGTTGAAGACGAAGAAGAGGTACAACAAAGAAGAAGTAGGTGAGGCTCGTGGTAAAAAATAAGGGTAAAAAACTGATAAAAATACTTAAAGAGGCTGACTAGGGTATTTGAAACGACGAATGCGAAAATGGTAATTAATGTGGCATACGCGTTGTGACAGCAGATGTGATGTGATTTGATATTTGACATAAAACCCTGAAAACCCCAGAAACCCTAAAAAGTTATTTCGAAAACTTCAAGAATGTTTAAAGGTGGGAGTTATTCTTTGAAAGAATATAAAATTAATATAAATATTTATACTCTTTCAAGGAGGACATTTTGTTAGTGATAAATCGATTTATAGGATCAAAAAAACGGAAGAGAGAAAATCGAAGATCATAATCGGGAAAAATGGTTGAAAGACACCCGGTGACCACGAGATAGTATGAACATATAAATTGAGAATGAAAATCGAGAATCAGAAAAAAGAGAAATAAATCGATGAAAGCAGTGATAAAGTATAGTGTAAAGTCAAGGTCAAGGAAAATAGTACTCGATAATTGGAATCGAGATCGAGGGAAACGGTTAAAATGCACATGAAACGTGGAAACAGTTTTATAAACCGTAAACTAAGGTAAAAAATCGAGGAACGTGCACATGGAACGTGGTGACAAGTTTTTTAACTGCTCTTGGGAAGTTATATTGAAGGATGTCTATAAATAGAATGAAGCTTGAAGAAGAGAGGGAAATTGGCAGAGACAGCGGAAACACAAGTGAAAAGTCTACCGGAGAAACGAATCATGAAGTTTCTGACGATCTGGATTTCCATTTTCATTGATTGTTTTTATCGTTTTCTTTGCTTTCCCTGGTAATTTACTTTCGTGCAATTTACGTTTATCAACTTTCAGTTTCTGTCTTTTTAATTCCTTGTCATTTTTATCTTTATGCAAGTTAAGATTCTGCGTTTAAGTTCCTTGCCATTTACACTTCTGCAATTTCAATTTCCTGTTATTTACATTACTGCAATCTCGATTCCTTGCTATATTACTTTCACGAATTTTCGATTCCCACCATTTACATTTCTCAATTTCAAGGATTTTGCATTTACATTTCTCTATAATGTTATATTCTGTACTGTCTTTCATTTTCGATACGTTTTATTGCTTCCTTTATTTTATGTTTCTTAATAAAAAATATCAAGAAAAGTACTTCGATTGTCAATCTGTATGATATATTGTATTTCTCGACACTACGGTATTTTCGATTCTCATTCATGTTTTGATTGAAAACTGTTTGCTAGCCTAAGTAAAAAGAATCTACGTGGTTGAAATTTGATTAGAACCTAAGTCTCCGATAAATCGAAATCGATCAAATTTTCACCAGAAACAATAACATATAATATATATTACAAAAATAAATTATCTTGATAATTTCTTATAAGACTCCTACATTATTATGTTATTTTATAGTTGCTTTATTTCGGTTTAACAAATTATTTTAAACAAAAATATTATTTTTAACATGTGATTAATGTTAATATATCTATACTATTAATTTTAAAATAATAATTTTTTTGCAATTAAATTACAATTTTATTAGATATTTTATATAATATAATTTAAAAAATTTAAAATAATACTTTCAATACGGAACACTTTTTAAACTATACAAAATAACTGTCCCTATATTGCGAAAGCTAAAAACTTCATGCCTTATGAATTATTGGGGAAAGACCATTTAGGTTATATGGTGGTATTTATTAGAATTAAAGAAAAAAATGAATACAATTAAAATTTTAGACTATTTAAATGTGTTATAAAAAAAGTAATAATCTCATAACAGAGTTCTGTACACATAATAATTATTAAATTAATTAAAAATTAGTCCTGAAAAATAAAATTAAATATTTAATGATTAAAATTCAAATATTATATAAAATATAAATACATTATATATTGTAATATGAATAAAGTAACAACGAAATAAAAAAGTTAAATTTATATAAAATATATTTAAACTGAATAATATTAGATATATAAAAAAAACTTCATGGAAAATAAACATTAAAGAAATACTGAGGTTTTAATGAATAATTTATTCAAGACAATGTAATAATACAATTTTATTAATATTTTGTTTTAGTTTTAAATTGTTTTCTTTTAAAAGGTTTGGGAGTGAAAAATAAATTTTATAGATTATATATTATTTATTTTATGTATTCAAGTTATTCGTGTGACTATAATATTGGAGATCGTTTTTATATTCAAGAAAAACAATAAATAATATTTTTGCTTAGTTTTGAGGGGTAAATAAGGTTGATAATTTAGATTGATTTAATATATTTATCAGTAGTAGAAATGACTTGATGTATGTAATATAATCTTGGTAATTATAACACAATTTGTTTAAATATTATTAAAAGATATTATATGTATTAAAAGTGATTATATGTGTTAATTTCAATTGGTATATGTGAAGGTTCTTTATTTTTTTTATTTAAGTTACATATGTATATATTTTATTTATTACTTATTTATTTAAAAAAAAGTTTAAATTAGTGATATATTATTACTAAAAAAAGTTTTATTCAACTTTCTTAATGTATTTTCACTGTAAAAAAAAGAAATATGAAAATAATAGAAAAAATTATGAGATGAAAAAAATGGCGAGTTTAATTATTGTACTGTCATTTATATTTGAATTTGTATAGAATATAATGTGTCTTGATAATGTAATTTTTTTTACATTGAATGCATAATAATTAAACTTTTTTATGTACTCTTATTTTTTTATAAGTATATTTCTACTATTTTTTTATATAAAGAATTAAAAGTATGTTTAAAAATAAAATATAAAATGTAATATTATCAGTTTTTTAATGTTTGGATATTTTTTTTACATTTTATTTTATATAGTTAGAAACAACTTCATATTTTCTTACGTTGTGTATTGTCTACATCGGGAAAGATGTTTATTTGTATTAGATATTAGGTTTGTGCTCTGTAAAAGCTAACACGGTTTTTGGTTCAATGAAGGAAATTTGGGGGGTCAAAAAGAACATGTGGGTGGGAATAGCAGAATCCTTTGGGATGGGCTTCTAAGGCTTTGGTTGGGCTGCATCTTAAAATTATAATAGATAAGTGTTATTTTGAGTTTGGTTTTTGCGTGTTATTGTTCCAACAAGAACCTTCAACAATTTACCGCCCGCCGGAGAAGGAGAAGAAGGATCTGTGTTGTGTCTCAGGCACTGCTCATCACCATGTCTCGGGTAAACAAACTCTCTCTCTCTCTCTCTCTCTCTCTCTCTCATTTTTCACTCGTAACAATTCTCCTTGATTCCTTTATGGCTTTCTCCAGCTACGCTTTTTGAACCCTAGCCCAATCGATCTCCGTTCAATGTTTTTGATTTAGGGTTTTATCCATTATTAATGCTCTAATTTTGATTCCTGCATTCTTTTTTCGCATTATTTTTGTGGATTTAGTTTCTTCGCCCGTTTTTTTTTTTTTTTTTTAATTTGTTGTTACCTCATGGTCCTGGTTGCTTTATGTACCGTCGCAGTCAATTTGAATCTCAGACTTTTATGTGATTTTGCAGGTTGATAACAGAAATTCCTCAGCCGCCAAGCGTGCTAGGACTGATGGTGTGTCATGGTTTTCTTGTTTTTGTTTTTGTCTCTTTGGTGTTTATGGATACTTCAACAGTGCTCTTCATACTTAAAGTTGAAATTATCGTGTGTGCGTACTATTTTACATTCTTCGATCCATTTATGCAGCGGTAGCCATGATCTCATTTGCTAATTTCCTCACTCACCATTATGTGATTCTACTTTTTAGTAATACAATTTGTTTCTGTGGATGATGTGGCGATTAAACTGAACTTGGGCTGTTTTTTTTTTTTTTTGTAGGTAGTCGTAGGGAAGATGATTGGACTTGCCCCAGCTGTGGCAATGTCAACTTTTCTTTCAGAACAACTTGTAACATGCGTAATTGCACTCAACCTAGGCCAGCTGATCACAATTCGGTAATATATTCTATTGAATGTCAGAGTGATATTCTTTTAAATGTGGTTTGAATCTCGTAAAAGATTTAAGATTATTTTATTTTTTTTGAAAAAAATGTTATCATTAAATAGCATTGTTTGGACTCTTCTGCTTGTTTCTCCCTTTTTATTCTCTCGTTTTACTTGTATTTCTTACCGTGCTTTCCATTTACATTCCTAATTTCTATTCACTCTTGTGTTCCGTGAAATTTTGTTCCCAAAAGAAGGGGAATGTAGATGGTATAGTAATCAAATGTTATTGCGTGCATAGCATAGGACATACATATAACTATTTTTAATCTGCTTCCTCTAAATGTACTTTTATCATCAAATCACTTTACCTATTCATTTACCACTACCAGAAATCTGCTGCCAAGCCTCTACAAGCTCCCCAGGGTTATCCATCCGCAGCTCCTTATTTAGGTTCTAATGCTCCCTCTTCTATATATCTTGGTGTCCCACCATATGGGTCTTCTCTGTTCAATGGATCATCTGTTCCTCCCTATGATGTTCCATTTTCTGGAGGATCAGCATATCACTACAATTATGGTAGTCGTCTTTCTGCTGGCAGTCCTTATAGACCACTGCATTTATCTGGACCTGCACCCTACACAGGTGGACCAGTGATGGGAAATGGTATGTTCTGTTTCTTGTTTTCTGTCAGATAAGTCAATGAAGTTTCTTCAATTTGATGGTGAAAAGGATTAATCAATTGGAATGCTCTCGTTGATGATAATGATTGCGTTAATGTTACATAAATCTTCCGTTAAGTTATCTATCTCTTGCTTTTGCCCTTTTGCAGTTAATATTACTTAATAGGTTGGGTATTTTTTTACAGGTGGGATCTATGGGATGCCCCAACTATTGGACCGGTATGGCCTGGGTGTGCCTATTGGACCTGGGACAATGGTACGAGTCTAAGCTAAACGATTAAAATCAATTGTATATAACTTCTATTGCCAGGACCAACTTTATTTTATTACTGTTTGATATCACCTGAAGAATCTTTTCTCAAGTTATGGAGTTATTTGTTCATAGTAAACACTAATAGTAAAAGCTAGATATGTTTTCTATTGTATTACAATCACAATTCATAAAGGTCATTAACAATCTGCATTTTTTTTATCTGTTGTCACAGCTTACTGATCATACATACATAGTCATATATTTATATTTTACTTTAAAAACGAGTACTGTACATTTATTTTTTTCATCTTCAAAGTTGGATTTGATCCCTAGTAAGTTAGTGAAGCCATAGTTTGTAGACCGTATAATTTCATGGATTTTGTTGCACAATGGAACGTAATGTTCATACTTCCTGGGCAGGGTGCTAGGCCTGGGTTTTTTCATGATGACAAGTCTCAGAAAAAAGGTTCAGGTTTGTTATGTCTAGCTTACGAGTATGTTTTTTCCAAATGTAAATTGATGTAGCATTGTTGTTCCTATCCCCATTTTTCAAGCAGATGCAACTCGTGACAACGACTGGACATGTCCAAAATGTGGCAATGTCAATTTCTCATTCAGAACTGTCTGCAATATGAGAAAGTGCAACACACCCAAACCTGGATCCCAGGTTTGCTTCCTTTACTTCTATTTTGCATATTTATAGTGACTTGTGATTAACTTTTATATCATGGAAATATACCAATAAACATTTTTGTATTAATGATGGTTAACATCGTTGGATGTGATTGTTGGGCAGCAGGCCTCAAAGTCTGACAAAAACTCTAGTAAGTATCTTCTCACATGAGACATCTGTCTCCTAGTTATATGATGTTTCCTCATACAAGAGCAACAGTTGGTACTTATGATTATTTGTGCTTGCCATTCAGAACAAAAGATGCCTGAGGGAAGCTGGAAGTGCGAAAAGTGCAACAACATAAACTATCCTTTCAGAACCAAGTGCAACAGACAGAATTGTGGTGCTGACAAGCCAGCTGAGTCTGACAAATCTCCTTCACCATCTGCAGATCAAAATGATCAGGTTTGTTGTGTAAAATATTTAAATTTTATTAACCTTCATTTCTTGTTGCAACAGTTGTTGGTTTTCCAAGAGCAGCTTTGTAACTTAATGAACATTTTCAAATGGCAATCTGTTGTGAAGTTGTCTTTTAAGTATATTCTAAAGAAAAGCTTCAGTTTTTCTTCCTTTCAATTGGAACCTTTTTGTTACATCTTTTTAATCTCTTCCGTATCTATCCGCTGCAATTTTTAATTTGCAATTATTTACTGTTCCAGTGAGTACTAGGACATGTTTGAGGGTTGAGAAGGTCCAGAGTTGTCATCAAGCATTGCTCAAATTTGGGTGTCTGACAGTCAGTCTTGTCGTCTTCTATATTGCAGCAGTTGTCAAGTCACTCACCTTCTCAAAATGTGTCAAGTTGTTGTATTAACTGAGATGGTATTTTGGTCTTTGTGGATTGTTATGATGCATGTGTCAGCCAACTTTCCTGGCATAAAGGTTATTGCGGTTCCAGTTTTAAGTTTTCTTTTGGTTCATGACTGTCTCTGTTTAAGTATAACTCTAGATACCTCAGCAGAATGTGAAGATTCCAAGTATTTAGATTTATTAGGTGCCATTTAGTTTTTTGGGTAGTTGCAAGTGTTTTCCTAACATACCATTTAGGATGCGTGCATCAGTATACAAAAGCCATTTTCTTGATGTTACATGGATGATTCATGTCGTGTCGATACATTGAAGTTGACAGTAAGAATATTTAGTTGTTCGTTGATTTTAGTTTCATTTAGATAAGCATTTGTAGCTGGATATTAGTAGGGTTTTGGGTAAGTCTTTATATGGGGCCATTTACCATAAGTGTAGTAATCTTCTTGTTTGTAGTATCTCACTGTTAATACTTTGTTTCGCTGCCTGTCAACCATTGACATTTAATGGTGGATGTCAAGTGGGTATTTTTCTGAGTCCTTATGAATCGTGTCAATAGGGCAATTTAGTCCTTGGAATTATTTTCTGCTTGCATAGTCCCCGAATTTGTGTACAAGTCAGTCTCTGAATTGATGAAACTAGCATAACATTAGTCGTTCTTTAGCCTAGACCCAAGAAGGTCAATTTTGATATGGATTTTGTAAATATAAAAGACTAGAATACATGAAACAAAATGCAAGGATCAACAGATGATTTCAGGGATGGCCTTAGATGTCTATAAATATAACCGAATCGGGGACTATAAATCTATGCAAAGGATGGTTGGGATAAGAGATGAAGTATCTCGATATTGTACTCCGAAGAAGCTTTCAATATGCTTTGTTCTCGGAGCACGTCGAACATTATTAGTTCATAAAAGGTGGACTTCCTTCACGAACAATTCGGCACAAAGGTTGCTAGTGCTAGTAGGGCTTCTTTATTCATTGGTCTCATTACGTTAGTAGCATTTTTGTATTTATAATTTTCACATATATTAAATTTTACCCGAATGAGGCTCACTAAATTAGAATCATCGTTACCTCATTTTATCAATTTAATTTTGGCTTAATGACCTTATGTCCTATGAATTTATTTGGTTTCTCTATTCATAACATAAATTTAGTACTTAATCAAGTTCTTTAGTTTAAAAAAAAACAACAATGTGATCATTTTGTTTGTTATAATTGATGTTATTAGTTTTATAATTTTTTATAATCCGTTTATAAATTATATTATTTAATTAAAATTGTGAATAATTATTAACAAGTTAAATAGATAAAAAAAGTGATTATATTATTATGTATTAAAAATTTGAGGAATTTGAACTGACTAAATCGAGTAAAATTGTTTTTAGCAATGTTCGATATAATCAACAAATTTATGTGATGATGCGTTTTTAAATTCATTTAAAATTTAACATATATAAGATTGTATTTAATTTTTATATTTAATATAATTTTAAACATTTAGAATAAATGGTAAGAATAGTAAAAAATTATAAAAGTAAAATGTTGAAAAGTAAATAAAAAAATAAATCTAATTTATTATTAAAAATAAAACAAAAATTGATAAAGAAAAATATTGAAAGTGATTTTAATTATAAAGAATTTTATTGAAAATGAAGAATATAAGTTTTTTAATAATTTAATATTTTTTTATATTTATTTTATCTTATATAATTTTTTTAACAAGAGTGCCAAGGTGACATCATAAAAATAAAATAATAATAAAAATATAAAATAAAATTATAAATTATAACTTTTGAAGGATTATTTTATTATAATTATCGTTCAACTATTTTGACATGTGTTACTTGTATTTGTGAATTGAATTATAATTATTTTCATAAATCTCTTTGTAGGTGGCTTAAAGATTCTTTAATATAAATTTTTTTATATTTTATTTTCTCACATTATGTTTCTTGTATGAATGTTTTTTATTGGTTAATTCTCTAATTTTTGTTGATATCTTGATTTCTTCGATTTATTAATTTTTTTTATAATATCTATTGATGATTTTTCTATCTATAATGTATTTTTTATTATTATTATATTTATTTTTTTCAATTATTAAATACCTTTTTTTATTCTTTTTATTGATTTATTTGTAATTTTTTAGATTTAACAAAATATCCTAAGATAATTCTATATGAATCTTGATGAATATATGTATTTACTTATCTTCAATACTAACTCTAAATATTTATCTTTATTTTATTCAAAAGTTGTTTTATCTCATGTTTCCATCATTACTTTCATTCTCGTCGAAGTACAAAATTTTCATAATAAATTCTATTTGTATCATCACTCTTTAATTTGTCATTGATTTCAATTATTTAAAATATTCAATTTACTATATTATAGGTTTTTTGAGAAAAATCTTTTCTTTTAAATTAAAATTATTCATCTTTTTTGTCTTCACATATTTCATTTTCTTCTCCTTTATATCAAACTAAATCTTCACTTATATCTTTTCTTCGAATGACTTCATGAATTACAACTTCTTAAACCTCCACCATCCAATCTATTAAAACTCGGTTTGTTAAACTAAAAGGTAAAACTTCGCACCAATCGTCGAGTTACTCGAGGAAACTCAAAAAAATTGTTCTACCCAGGTACTAATTCCATACTTAGTAGGGAGTGTTCCATTAGCTTTCGGAAGACTATTGATACCTGATCTTAAAGAACCCACTTATTTTCCTTCTATCAAAGAAGGAAAATTTATTTTCAAAGAACCTGAAGGAAAATTTAGGGTAGATTTTCTCTTCTAAACATCTAAATTGTATCGTTTTGATTAAGGTGAATTTTCTCTTCTAAACATGTAAATTGTATCGTTTTGATCCGTCCCAGAAAAAATCGACTTATACTAAATGACTCGATAGAATTGAGCCTCAGTTTAAACAACACTGGAGAAACATAAGTATATATGACCTTCTCTATCTCTCTAGACTTGACATAGGTTATCTCGATATATCAATTATTAAGTTTGCCCCCACCGCAAAGTGTTGTTACAGGGAACATAATAAAATTGTCTTGGTTAAATACTTCATTTCAACACCTTCCAGATGATGCAGACGATAACATTGTCGCACAACATGCCAGGGCACACATACTAATAATAATAAGGAATTTATTATTGTCAGATACTTCAACATTTAGAGTGCATTTAATGTATCTCCTATTATTGCAGATCTAACTCTAGTTTCAAACTATAATTGAGGATAAACTATTTTGGCATGTTTGTATAGAGCGTTGGATCATGACGTTGACTGCCATCAGGAGAACATTGAAGGATACATGTTATTGCTCCAAGCTTGGACATGAGACCATATTACATGCATCTGTCCTAAGGTAGAAGATTTATCCAATGAGAAGATTGTCGCAGGGTATTGTTTCCCATTGGCTAAAAGGTATTCAAATTTATTTTATATTATTTTATTCCATTTCTTTCTTTCAAATTACTTCATTTTATAATAGTATATTTTTTTGTATGCAAAAGGTGGTCAGGACCAAGTCAAAGATCCAACATAATTACATATATTGTACATGTATTACGTTTAACATTTGATCAATTAAAAGTAAATGAGGTATTTCATTTAATACAACTCTCAGTATGTATTTCTTAAATGATAATAATTCTAATTTACAAGTTCTATAAATGACTAATAATGTTGAGATTTCTCCTGTGAGTCATGCTATAGTTTTAATGATATATTTTGTTATTGTTGAGCCTCATCCAACAAATCGGGTTATGAGCAATTTGGACTTCGTCAACCAATTCCAGAAGACTCAATCAATCTTGACAAACTTCACAGAAAAGACATGAGAGGTAAAACTTATAGATTTTGGCCTCAATACCATGAAATTATATTACTATGTAGAATGATCGTCACAATCGACTAATTGAAGGAAACGAATTTAGTAAGAATGACCACTTGCATGAAAATACAACATATATGATATTGTATTTTCGAGCATATTATCAAATATGTTGTCTTTACCCAAGAAGAAGATTCGGATGAAGTAAATATATCAATAATTTTATTTTATATATATATATATATAATATTCATATCAAACTAATATTAATTTTATTTTTTAACAATATGATACGAGAGCGATGGGAACAACTTCAATATATTGGCGAACCTAGTCATGTCTATGTTGGTAAGTCAAGTCATATCCATGTTGGTCAATCAAGTCATCAACATGTTGGTCGCCAGTCAAGTCATCAACATGTTAGTCAGTCGAGTGATCAACAACTTTATTCATATTTTGGATATGTTGGTCAATTCCAAAATTTACCTGCGCAATTTCAATTTGGAGGACAAGTTCCTTATACATTTACTTTGTTTTCATATGAAACAAAAATGTTTTCCACCTCTTATAATACCACAATCAACATACGATCAAACACTTTTCGTGAGTACAATGTTTAGTATATCTCATATGCAATATGCAAATAAAAATGAGGATAATGATAATGATAGGCAAGTAAACACTCAACCTCAACCATCACAGAGTCGTACGTGTGTTACACAAGTACAATAAAGGCTTATTCAAGACCAACTACGTATACTAAGATGACAAATAAGAAGAGCACATTGTGGGATAGGGTCTCACCATTAATTTTTTTATGTGATAATGTATATATATGTAATATTTTAATATAAATATAGTGAATTAAATTTAATCATGTTTGTTTAAATATTTTTATTTTTTATTAAATTAATAATTCAATTGAAAATAATTATTTATTAAATAATATAATTAAAAAACGTCTTTTTCCAGAAAAAAAATTGTGCTTTATAGCATGTTTTTTGAAAAAAAAATTAAAATCATGATTGGAAGCATGTTTTAGTTACAATCGTGTTTCTAACCATGATTTTAAGAGTAAAATCGTCCCCCATCTCATGTTTTAACCTATTTTAAAAATAATTTAAAATTTTTTAACCCTTTTAATAAAATCAAAATTTTTTTAACCCTTTGATAAAAAAAAGTCAATTTTTTTAGACTTAATAAAAATATTTAAATTTTCAATTATCTTTGATGCAACTGAAGAACGATTTCAGTAGCATCTGTTGCATGTTGACAAGGAAATTAATAACTAATCTAGAAAAGCATTACATTGATCATACGTTTTTTTCATCGAACCGACTTATGCTAGAATAAAAAAATGGAGAATACTATTATATTGCATGCGTGTTTAGGGGCGTCGATTTGAACACGTGGCCTTTACTTCTCCTGTGAAATTTTATTATAACGACAGAAAGTTAAGAGAAACAAAGAAGATACTACTAGAAAACGATTACAAACCTCTACTTCTTACATCTCTTTCCTTTAAAAAACTTGTTAGGAAATATAATTTAATATTGAACTGTTCTAAAATTTGAATATTCGTATTCCTCCACTAATTTTCTCACCGCTCTAAGCATATTTTATCGCCGTCCTTAGCTCAGGAATAGGTTTAGTTTTAATTAGGTAAGTGACATTATAATTATATTCTTATTTACATGTCATGTAAATACACGTTAGATTCATACTTAGATCTGGTTAACTTTCGATTGTGAAACAAAATAATTAATAAAATAAAATATAATTAAAATATTAAGATTAATGATGAACTTAAAGTGAAATTTTTAAGCTAAATGAAAAAAGCATTTAAAGATAATATGATTCTTTGGTATGAAGAAAGTTGGATGATATATCATCCATATTTGTATCGAAGCTTACTAATTTGTGTGTGGAATGTAGGTAAATTTTATGTTTATTTAGATCCGGCTTGCCTGGTCACAGGAGAAAGTATCAGTGTTCATCGATACAGAGCATGCAATTCAACAATGGTGTCGGAAGCGTTCAGTAGAAATTGTAGTCCGAATTAAATGAGCGTTGTTTGGTACAAAATGAAATGTCTTGGGAGTTATCAATAAAGCTCAGAAAACGGAGTGATTGTCCCCAATGTGCAAGCAGTTTGTTTAATTAATCTCCATTGCAAAAAAAGAAAATCAAGGAAAGACAGAGTAGCCTGACATGTTGAAGTTGAAAGCATTTGAATGAGCATTGCTTAATGGTCCTGTGGATTAATCCAACTGGTTGCACGGGAAACCCGAGTCATAGGGTGCGCTCAACAGCTGAAAATCTTGAAAGCGATTGTTGCTATCACAATCTGAGAATGAGATACACATGCTCACGGTGGATGGGGATGGTTGTTGTTGATGATCGGTGTGCCAATAATCTGAAGCGGAAGCAAGTGGTAAGCGCTGCTGCTGATGCTGCTGCAGGTGGTGGTGAGTCATTGCGTGTGTTATGGACTGAGTGATGCCACTTGTTCGTGTGGAGTGTTCCAGGGAAAGGGATTTAGTCTCATATGGACCCCATGAATTGCTTGACAGAAGAGAGAGAGCACGGTTAACATCTTGTGCACCATCTGGATCACACGAACTAATGGAATTGGGATCTTCTAAACCTGCAATAACAATTCTATCAACACTTGATAAAAACCATCGTTTCATCCAGGAGCATCGAAATGTTCAATCCCAAAAACATAATCTTACCCATCCTACTAAATTACACAAAGAGGAAATAAAAATACTCGAAAGCCAAGTTTTAGGACTTGAAAACTAATAATGAATGCGCCTTTTACTACACATGATTTCATGATATAATCACTACTTTGGAATCAGCATCCTAATCCAAATCAACTGTATAAAGTATAACTTCTCCAAACAAGTGAACTTTTCAATCCACTACATGCAAAGCAAAAAATAAAAAGCTTTAAAACGATGTCTAAACATTTCGTATGACCAAAGCAGTTATGTTACGTGATAAATGAATAAGATAAATTTTATGATAAAGTAGGAGGGTCAGTGATTAGGAGGTCAACAACAACCTGGAACAATAGTCTTCGCTGCTATGCTTCTGGATGTTAGAAGGCCACTGGAATCATCAGAAAGCATAGAGACAATACTTGGTATCTTATTGAAGGCTTTTGCAGGCTTCGGAAGAAAATCTTTTGTCTGGGGGAGCTTGTTGCTGTGCATATCCTGCCACGCCAAATTTGTAGCAGTCCTTGAAAATGCAAATGGGCTCATTATTTGTCTCCCATCTGCCAAGTAAACATTCATAAATTAGATAGATGGATATAGTAAGCATTTAGTCACATGTGAGCATTTAATACTCTATTGTCACTTAGCAAATGGATACAAATATTTTTTTTGCTTCATTACAGAGGATCACTGCATGGATGTTCCTGCTTGGTTTTGTCAATAACAATAAAGTATATCTAGTGTTGAAGAATTAATGTGAAAAGAAAATTGCTAAATGATTTCCAATAAACTACAACCTAAGTTGTAACATTGAATAACTGGCATTAGTTAGTTTGTTCTTCTTATTTAATTTAGGAATATTGTACTCATACATAAATGTAAATTGTGCTCTATAGCTGACACCACACAATTATAAAAGGACCCTCAGTCGGTGTTTCTTGTTTATCTAAAACATGTTTTGTTTCAAGTACGTGGACGCTATCTAGTTCCCTATAACTTGGGCACTCTACTGTCTTAATGCCTTTTACCAAGTTATAGTTGATCATTTTTTATTATGGTCCTATTTAGATTAATTTTTCTATAATGAATTCTGTTTATTTACAGGTTACAAGTTTTCAAAAGAAGTTGAAGTAAGGTGAAAAATGAAGTACTCAAAAGCAAAACTAAAGGAAAACAAGCACCTGTCGCTAGCTGGAACCAGTTATGATCATACAAAAAGGAGAATTGGTGAATCACTAAAAACGGAATTTTTGATAGCATGATTAACATCATCACGGTGAAGGAAAAATGGGTCATATTCTTGCACAGATTCACCACATTTTCTTTCTCCATTTGTTTATATTTTATCACAAGTTTGATTGTCAGAATTATCACTTCATGATGTCTCCTACTTTCATCCAAAGATAATAAACTGCAAAACTAAACCCATGAGCAAGACAAAGGCAGTGGATTTTCCAAGGGAGGGGAATGTTTTTGTTATACCATAGGGTGATGAAGACAAAGCTGATGGATTTAATTGGATTGAGTCAGGCTGCGGTTTGCGACGCCTTGCATTGTGATCTGAAAGACGTCGTCTGCAGCTTCTTTTTTTGTCATCAAACTCTGACAGAGCATGGAACCTTCAACATGATAATTCAAGTAAAAAAGTTAAACCAATCTATCCAATATGACCGACAGAGACAGCAAACTCAATCCGACTCACTGATCTTTATTTTAACTGATATGTGCCTGAAAATTGTGTTTTTTTCCGCAAATGTCATTTTCATCAGGACAATCAGAAGTTTATTGAGATTTACCTGCTACATTGCTGGCAAAAACGCCGTTCCAAACCAGCTATAACCACCTTCGGGGATTTGGAATGAGCTTCACAGACTCTGTGTTTGCGATGATAATCTTTAGCGGATGAGAGGTCAAGGCCACAGCCTTCCACCTGGCAGCTTGGATGCTGCAAATTCTGACTACTGGTTTTATATTTCTTTGCTGATGAAACGGGAACCTCAAAGGAAGATTGTTTCTTTGAATCACTTCCTGTGCATACATCCTCAAAGTAAAATCTTTTCCCAAGCTTCAGAGAAAGTAGGGGTTCACCAGAGACTGGAGAAGGTACTGCTGCTGGAGAAGTGTCAACTGGCTCTCCGTTGCACAATTCTTTCTTCCCAGTGGAATCATCCTGTGATCCTTCCAGAGTCAATACCGATGCCTTGCTATCCCCAATTGATGATGAGTTGTTGGATGCTGATTTTGAGCTCCTTGATGAAGAAGCGTGTACTAGTTCAGAGCCAGAACAAGCACTACCACCTGACGGATACAACAACCCAACATTGATTTCTCGATCTGTTTCGTTGCTACAATCAGTTGTCGGTAACCTGGGATTTTCCGTTGCTTTTGTATTGAAGAAGAATAAGTGCTCCCAGTCCCATTGTCCGAGAGATTTTGCATTCCACTCCATGACAAGTCCTTAGAATTTCATATACAAATGGTCACTGTGATCTGCAAACTACAATTCAAATCAAACGTTAAGTGTTAACTGCTTTAGTTTCTCCAGAAGCAAAGAAAAACCATACAAGATCCTATCGAAGAGATTGAACTAGTACAAGAAAGCACAGAGTGTTTGGCAGAAGCAAAAGGCACCAGGAAAATACCTGAATAAATGCAGTAGACGCATGATCAACAAACACATATTAATAATCTAAAAATTGTGAAACAACCTAAAATTTAAAACAACCTATGAACAGCAAATTCCTAAGGGAAAACATATCGATCAATCTTTCAAAGACAACATTAAATCACTGGCTCTAGCCCTATGTTACATGGATTTCCAGCTAGACAAGAGCAAAAGCAAACCAGAGACTTAAGCAAGAAAAGAAAATATCTTGGCAGCAAAAAAAGTACTTAGGGAATAGCAAGTGGTAAGTAAGTATAATATTGGCAGTGTAAATTAGTTTAACCATATAGTTTACCAAAGTCAAATTCCTAACCTGAGATGCCCGTAGGGGAATTATCTTGTACATAATAACCAAAACAAAGAAGCTAATTACACAAATCCAACAAATCCGTGGACTCCACAGTGTTCTGCAAATACCGTCCATAACTTTACAGACAGATGAGTGGCTATATTTTAGTGTTGCAAGACTTCTCATGCTGATATGAAGCAGTCCCCACCATTATTATTAATATTATTAATAGGGGTGAGTGATTTATCTATTGCCCCGGTAAACTTAAAAGTGTGTACTAACTTCCCACGTAGTCAAGTCAATTTTTGCCACCATAAATAGTTACTAATCATCATTATTTTTACCTCCTCCCCCCATAAAATCTGACCTCCATAGTAAACATTAACGAGGGAATTTCATAATTTATTCATTCATGGCAATAACAAAAAAGGGTACCAATCCCTATTGATGTGATATGCAAGGCAATGGATTGCCCCTATCGATGTGATATGTTTAACTCTTTAACTCTTCCTACAAGTGTGTACTTACCACCAAAACTTCCCTTTCAACATGGGAAGCCTTCAGATTCCAATAATTCACATTTATCACAGCAATGTCAGGAGTCGGTCATTGAATGAGACCCCACAACAGCAACAACCCAACAAATAATGACTTCTTGACTTATCAGAACTTCCAACACTCTGGCCAACACACCACAGTTTAGGCCCTTGACTTCGCTAACAAAGAATTAAGGCCAACAACCTAACCTCCAAATCATAAATGCAAGAAACTCCACTTTTAATCTTAGAACGTCACCAAAAACATCGTGTTATCGCAGCTAAGTTTCATCCAATCATAAGTGCCAGGAACCAATCAATTTAAACCCCATATAAGGAATCTTTTTTCTTAGCTCAAAATATCTAAGAAGGAAAGTGGATAAGAAAATTTTGAATTTTCAATCTAATTGTTAACATTATACATGCTGGCTTTGGTGCTGAAGTCTAAGCCATTGTGGAGCCAATGTCAATTCATTAGGTTATACGAGGGGTCTCTTTTCTTGGGACTTAGCTAGTACATTAAAAAGCTTTGGTCCCCATTTCCCCTCAAAAAGCACAAGTTTAATTTTTTTTATTTTTTTGCATGAGCAATTTCACTAAAAAACTAGAGGCATCTCTCACAAGCTTTCAGCAATCCCACTTTGCCAAGAAAATGATAAACCCCCAAAAGTGTAAGGAATGAGCGAGAAGAAGAAACGGGGAGCCCCACCCCCTCCCCCCCAAAAAAAGCATCTTTTTTTCATGGGCTAAGCCAAAACTCCAGCCTCATATTGTGAAAGCTTTCAGAAAAAGGGTGTTGCAATCTGACTCTACCACAAAAGGAAATCACAGTAAAAAGCAATAACAGAGAACACGAACAACAACAGCACTCATAATTCTCACCCTAACATTAATACCAGTAATTAATACCCATAACAAAAAAAAAATACCATAAAAAGAAAACCTCCATGTTGGTATCACTTTTGTTCCAAGTTCTCATCTTTAAACCACAATAGTGGGAATGGAAAAGGCTGCGATGAACAGTGATACACCCACTTGATCGGTGGTTCTTCCTCCACACAGAAGAAGATGAACCATAATGGGTGCAGAATGAATAAGTGAATAACTAAAAGGGTTTCCTTACCTATCAACACAGAGCCCGAGGAGTGTGTTTGCAAGCTAAATCGGGAAAAGCAGCAGATAACAAACTCAAAACCAGTGGTCTTTGTTTCCTTTTCTGATTCCTGAGCCGTTTTGGTTTTGCAAATCAAATTTAGGAGACTAAGCTAAAGTAAACACAATACGAGAGAAATTGTTGCGGTTAGTGAAATTGACAGAACAATAAAATAAACTTCACAAAAGTGAGAAATTGAAATTCTTCAGCATTTGGAATTTTGATTTGAAACACACTCTATGCATTAGTGTTGATTTTTGTTAACAGCAACACAAACACACAAACAGCTGAACCTGAGCACGTAGTCTTCGTACTGCCCATGGACCTCTCTTTGTGTCTCTCCCGCTCACAAAACACAATAATCACTGTGTTCTTTTTGCACTGGACTAAACACACTTATATTTTTTGTGTAATATTTTTTTTACTTTTATTACATTGATTATTTATTTTATCTGCTTGTTATTGCATACAAATATTGGTATTATTCAAATATTAGTATTTTTTTTCTGAAACAAATAAGTTAACTCGTTCTGCTCTTGAAGGAGACAGCTCAGACTGGGCATAAGAATCGACACACTTTTCATGAAAAAGAGAAACGAATCAAACAAGCTGGCTGTATCTTCAATTTCATAAAAATCAGTGGCATTAACCAAATTTTATATTTATTTTTGACATTTATTTACCTTTTACAATTTTAAATAATGTAATATATAATGGAAATTTTGAAACAATATGTATTAAGTTTCCGTTACCAATTGGTTTTTTTATTTACTTGCAAAACTGATATTAAAAAATCATAACGAAGTTGTTTAAACTAAAACTGGGTTTTACTTTTACCATCTAGTTGCAGTGTGAGGCATGATTTGGCAAGGAAATTATCAAATCTCTTCTACCATATATTAAATTCATTGTTTAAAAATGTTTATAGTAGTTGACAGATTAGGTCAAACAGAGTACAATCTTTTCAATTTCTTTCTTTTTCCCATTTGTCTTTATGATTTTTTAATTATGTCTATAATGCAAGATGAAAGAAAAAGGAGGATATAATATGACAAACTGCAAGAGTGACACGCGTGTGAAATGATGTTGTTGAGCCTATGAGCCTTGCTTTGGTTGAAGACAAGTAGTATTAGTCTACTCTAGTGTGGATTGGAATAGGAGTAACATTGGTGCCACAACAAGTGGTCCACCACCTTTCACTTTGACTGTATACATATATAAATATAAAGATTATATGAATTGATCTACAGAACAATGGATCAACCTCAAGTTGTTATTGGAATGACATGATGAATAGAGAATCATTAATTAGGGAAAGAGATTTCTGTATAATGTGTCAAAATGGTTCCTTTTCAATGATTTAGACAGCTTATTTCATCAATTATTTATATGATCATGAAGTGTAAAGGAGGTGTTCTTAATAAGGTTTAATTACATGCATCACTGGATTATTATTCACCACATTGGTGGATGGGATAAGGGTTATTTGCAATGGACAATGTTGTGTTGTGGGTCATTTCAACTTCACTATGGACATATAGTAGATGTATGACTTTTATTTAGTGGGATATGTTTCTATGTATGCCCTACTCAAAGTATATTTAACCATTATTGGAAGTTTGAAACAAATTTTCTTAGTTAACAAAAATGAATCATGAGATGAAAAATAATTTATTAGCTTAAAAATCTTTATATATTATGTGGAGAAGAAATTACAAGATCTATAGTATACATAATTAAAGGCAAGAGGTTCACGTGAGCATGATTGGAGATGTCTCTAGTAGCTCTAGGATTTGGTTTTATCAATTGTATATTATTAATAATAATAATAATAATAATAATATGCTTGCATAGTGTATTGAATATTTAGGGTTTATTTCAGAAAATGATGCATCAAATTGAATATGCAGGTATGTATGTCCCTGTGCTGTGTAGGTCATCCCCAAATAATTGTAACCAAGTTTTTAAAGAATATTACAGATGAGGAACTACTTTAACTTCATGTTAGAAATCTTATATTCACATTTTTAAGTGTGAAAAATAAGCATTATTTAAAAATAACTTTAATTTAAATATAAATAATGAGTTTTTGCTTTACTTAATCCAACATCAAATTAAACTTGTACGTAATATCTTAATTTTGAAGTGTGAGAATTCAGGTTACTACTCAAACTTTTTTTAATATTAACGCTGTATTTACTTGAATATGTCTTATTATTTTTTTCATCAAAGTTAAATAAAAAAAAGTGAAAATCAAGTAGTTATTTTTTTTATATTATCGGAAAAATATAAATAATAGATAATGACATATTGTTTAATAATCCATTTAAATTGTTTTAAATAAGAAAAAAGAAAAAAATTGTATTGCAAACAAGAATTTAAGGTCCTCCCTTAATTAAAGACCAAAATTTGAAGTAACTTGGCACTTCAATTTTTCTTGTTTTAAGAATAATTTTTGCGAGTTAGAAATTAAAGTTGGCGCTGCAAGATTGTGGCAAAAATTATAATGTGTTTAAAAAATATCCTATTTGCAAACAAAAACCACACTTGCAAAACTAATGATCGAAGTTATCAACTATTCAATCTTTACGTTGAGTTTGGTTATATTACCTTGGATTGAATAATGGGCTTTCATGATATGGGCCATCCTCTTTAGTTTGGGCTGCTTCTTCGTGCATCCCATGGTAAAATATCAAAATTATCTTTGAATCCTTCCTTTCCTTTTATGAGTTGCATTTTCGTACCAGCACTTGTGCCTCCTACATTTTCATTCAAGTATTATTTTCATTTTAAATTTAGAATTTTGTTAGTAACCTTCTACATTTCCATCCAAAGCACTATTTTTATTTTAAATTTATAAATTTATTAATAATATTTTGAATTATATAACATGTTATTCAACCAAAAATTATTTTAGTTAGGGGTGCAGGAAGAAATTATTCTTGCGTTGGGACTATCGCAGAGGATAATGGGCTCCTCTTTCTGCAATTAAATGGGCTAACTGTCTTTTTGTAGTAGCAGGCCTCCTTGAACAAATATTTGTACAATTATTTTAACATTAAAAAAACCAAAAAACTCGTATATGTGTGTGTACATAATCTTATAAACAAGATTAAACTCTTCTAACTTTTCTTACTCTGACATGAAAATTGAACTTTTAAAAAAATTAAGAGAGTAAAACGAACATAAAAAATAAGTTAAATGATTAATAAAAAAAAATCAAATTGGTATTTATTTTACACTAACACACACGAGGATAGGGGAATAATGAATATGAAGGAAAAGGTGTTGTGTTGGAGAAGAAGGATAAGATGGAAAAGCAAAGTGAGAGGCACACGTAAAAGAAGGAGATCCATGATGATGATGATGATGAAGAAGAAGAAGAAGAAGAAGAGAGGGTAATGATGATATATTGGCATTTGGCACCAACCATGACTATTATTACTAACATAACCAAATATTTCTCTTGCTTTCCCTAGGCATAACCGAATCATTACTCACCCCAAAATATGCATCTTATTTCCCTTTGGTTTTCTCAAACCCAATCATTCAAATTCTAACACAAACCCTTTCACTGTCTCTTCTCTTTCCCAATCAAATTCTTCCGATTCTTTTCCTTCATTTGCAAATCCACTACTCCCCCTTTTCTCAACATGCATTTCCTTTCATTCACCGTTGCTTTCCACTTTCCACCTTTCGTGATGTTGATGCATAATGCTTCAATTGAATGTTATCTTCTACCTTCTCCAAATATGTATGTTCTACGTGATTGTATGATTCCATCACATACCTTAATTGAAGATGTTCTTAAGCAAAAAATCATCTTTTAAAATAGATTCCCAAAAATGTTCTTTTTTTAGTAATATAACTAAATAAAAATAAATAAATTTATTATATCTAATCAATTTGTTTTCTTGTAGTTGAATTGAGATTAATAATTCTCAAAGATGGAGAGTGAGACATAATCATTTTGTAACTTTCAAATGACAGCTCTACACACTCAAAATTCTGAGCAGGAGGGGCTACCTTAACTCATTGCAATTGATTGTGTTCAACACTATTTCTAACCCACATTATTATTTGCAATTATACTCAACACAATTTGAAATTTATTTTAAGATCACCAGCATCTTAATATTATATTAAACATTCTATTAATTTATTTCAAAATAAATAATACTAAACTTTATTTGCAATTTATCAGTGTAACAATATTTTGAAATAAAAAAATAAAATACATCTAAACAAAAAAGTGGATAAGTTATACAGAAAAGGGAAAGGAAAGCGTGAGCATCCATAATTACTACTTATTGCGTGACACTTATGACCATTGAATGGAAAATGGAATGATGTTGAAGGTGGCTTTTGAGGGTATTTTGGTCAACCTGAATAACTACTCATCATAAGGGAGAAAAAGTCTGCGAGGACGATCGTGCGGTGCGTGAGGAAGAAGGGCCCACAAAACACGATACCATCCCTTAATTTCCAAAGTGAAATTATGGCGTTGCCATGCTAAGCAAGCACTAACCCATGGGACACGGTGCTCATGAGTCTTTTTCAGATAATTTCGTTTTTATAATAATTTTTCAGCTAATTTTTGAAGTCATGATAAAATAAATGGTTTTTTGACTAATCATTTTGATGCAGGTTCGTGTACTCTTTAAAACTTATTTCAATATATTCTTTCAACCAAAAAATAATAATTCAAAATTAGGTTAAATTTAAATTATGGGAAAGTGTGGAATGGAGGTTGAAACAAATGGTACATCTACATGGTGGATGACGCATTATTCATGCATGTTTCATGGTTTCTCCTACACAGGTAACATACCAACTTCGTAATCGTACATAAGAACATACATATTTCATTTTTTTTATTAAAAAAATAATTTAAATTAATTTAATGTAAACTTTAGATTTATTTTAACATACGTAGACACTTCTATTAACTTTAAAGAATATAACTTAGTTTTCAACTGTTTTTTTTAATATTAAATTTGTCAAATTTTAGTTATATATTATTTATTTTTCTAATTTATACATGATATTTAATTCACATCTATATTGTAACATATTTTAAGAATAAAATTGTGTTACTCTGACTTAATTATGCATCGATACAGTGATTAAATTAAAATTAAAAATTGATTAAATTATAAAATAATTTTATTTTAAAAATTTAATTCAATGGTAGAAGTATTATAGCATGATTTCATCATGTATTAAATAAGAATTTAATGTTAAAAATAAGTTAAATTGTAAGTTTGACAGTGGGCTTTGTTAAAAGAAGTTTTTATTTTCAAATATATTAAAAGTAAAATAAAAAATCTAAATGACATTTTAAAAAGTTTAATAAGTTCATAGAACTATTTTAAATACCCCTTATTATTAGATACATTGTCTGTTTCTCATCTACAATCCATTGTATGAACAACTCACGACAACAAAATAAAATCTATTTATTATTTTGTTTATAAATTCGACAATAGACTTTGCATGTGTGTTAGAGTAAATATTTGTTGTATAAATTATTACTAGGACTTAATGTTTTTATTTATCAACGTGTCATGTTTGATTATTATTATTTTTTAAATTATGTATGATAATATATATTATAAAATGTGGGTTAAATATATGATCTGATTTTTTTATGAGAAACAAATTTTTATTAAGTTGTTTACGTTATCATTTTAAAATCACGTGTTATCATGTTTAAAGTTGGTAATAAGATAATTGTGGTGAAAGCAAATAGTAACTAAAAAATGGGTCTGAGGCCTAACAAAAATCCTACAGAAATTGTTGCCACGAGAAGAGAAGTGTTTGGTGCAATCGGTGCCTAACTTGGTGCCAAGCAAACTTCTGTATATGCACCAACCTATTCATAATCTTTCCATCTCCAATCCCATATCACCATTTATATTGTATATACTTCAACCATCAATTGTTTTTATTTTATCTTCACTTCACGCGTAAACATGTGATTTAGTAATAACTAAGCTAAGAATAATGTTTAGGAATTCTACAGTGACGTGGAAGTAATTTTTATTTAAATAGATGGTTATTTAATGGTAATTCCTCCTCTGTAATCTTCCTCAATATCTAATATTATTTTCAATACCTTAGGTTTACGTTATTATCAAATAACCCTAATTTATTGAGTAAGAATTATTGACGAGTAATTAAGGTGAATAATTGTGTGTGTGTATGGTTAAGAAAAGAGAATGAAAAAAATAATTGAAGTGAAAATGACAAAGTGATGTAGAAGCAAATGCATAATAATAATTTAAGAAACAGAGCATAATAATAATTTAAGAAACAGAGCATAATAACATAAACACGATGGTTGCGTGGCGACGTGGAAAAACAAGAGTGGGTAAGAATAGGAATTAGGGAGAGAGTAGAGTAGGATAAGAGAGAGAAAGAAAGAAAGAGTGTTGGAGGAAGAAGAAGAAGAAAGAAGGAGAAGGAGGAAGAGGAATCAGGCGAATAGTGTGAGGGAGTGTTTGGGGCATGGAAGGGGTGGCCATGCTGAAGCAGCTAATTGGTCAGCTTCAGCACCTCTTGGACTCTTCCCATTCCCACTCTCTCATTCTTCAACCTTCTCATCACACTCTCCTCTTCCAACAACAACACCCCAGGTCCCCCCTTTCTCTTTCTCTTAGATCTATTTTCTCTTCATTTCTTCATTCTTTCCCCAATTAGGTTTCAGGCCCCCTCCTCTCTCTTTTTTTGGACCAGCACTCTTTTTTTTTTTTTTTTTTGCCCTTCATTTTTTTTTTATGTAATTATTATTCGTGTTGATGTTGTTGTTAGTCTTTGAAGTGAATTAACCGGCTTGGTAGGTAGGTAAGTTAGGTCCTTTCTGCTGTGTAATGTGTGAGTGTCGGAATTAACCACCTTACTCCAGTTTTTCATTTCCCTTCTCATTCCTATGCCTTCTCCAACACAATCACATACCCTAAAATGCACCAATTCGTATGCTCTCTAACTTTGATCGTTTCTCTCCCTGTTGTTTTTGTTCTTGCTGCTTAATTCTCTCACGTTGGATTTTAGCTCCTGCCTTCGATTTCCACTCGAGCTCATTCTGTATTTTCTGAAACTCTTTTTATAAACAAGTTCGATATAGTTTCACATTCTTTGCAATTTCTCTTGTCTTCTATTGGTTGAAAATATCCTTTATTCTTGGGGTAGTTTCTGGGTTTGGAGCATATGTTCGCATGATAAAAGACAAAGGGGAAGAACTGCATTGGGATGTTAATTAATTGTTTTAGTGGGTTATCTTTCTCTTGCACACACATGTATGTAACTATTTAGAGAGATCTAGGAGACATGCAAGGAGGTTAATCAAGTATACAACCTTCTTCTTGTCTTGCCATTCAATCCTTTATGCGATTCAGCAAGTAAGTGACCCAGAATAAAAAATCTTTTGGATTAGCTAAATGAGAGAATTTTTATAAATTAGCTTATGCATAAGTTAATTTATTTTATGATTGAAACTTATTTCCTTTTTTATTTTTTATTTAGTTTTGAGTGTTTAAGAATAAGTTTATCCAAACAAGGTCTTAATGTACTGCATATCATACTTGGCTCTGTTAGCAGTGAACAATCCTTGCATAAATCACAGTCAGATTACTTGATTGTTTGTTTGAACCATTGAATGTTTTATTATTTGAACATCTATTGTTTCTAATGTGTTTCTTGCCAGTCATTGTGGGACAAGCATCAATTTTCTGGATTTTGTGCATTTTTCTGTGTCATAGTATCATCACACTAAGGAAGGTTTTGTGTTGTCAATTCTCACCTCATCGCATTCCTCATGTGGTCAAGTAGATATAATTGAATGGATTTTTCAGCAACTTTTTGTGAAAGTTCAAGCCTTTTGGGCACTTGACCTTTAAAGAAAGTAAGAAAAGGAATAAGAGAAAAAAAAAAAAAACCGTTGCTTTGATTTCCATTTAAAACAATTTTTTTTAAACATTAATAATTTGAAATTTTCCATTGGACATATAGGGCGTGTTTGTAAGAACGTTCAAATCCTATTGAACGTGAATCCACCAAACGCTTCTTGTCACGTTGAGCTTATTGTAAGGCGTGGAACAGTTGTCATATTGGGGAACAAACACATGGTAGATGGACCAATTTAGTTCCAGTTTGTTGGTACGACAAATTGAAGTTAAATGCTTGAGTAACTTCTGACCTGAGGATGCATATCATTAGAAAAAAAGGATGTTGTAATGAAGTGGTGACAATTGTGAGGGTGATTACTTGTATGTTATAAACTTTCTACCAGGTTTAATCAACTCTTTTGCTAAGTATAATAAGAGCCTCAGAGGCAACATAATTAGTAGATATTGATTTTTGATTTTATATCACGAAAATGAACGTTGGGTTCCTGAGTAGCACTGTTTGTTTACTCGCTGAAAACCGTAGATATTAGAGTAATGATATCTGCTACATTACACTTGTACACAACATATAGCGATGTGAAATTGCAATTCTTTTACAGTTATGCTTTTGAAAAGGTCTGTTTTGACACCTAGGGCACTTCTGAGAATTTTGTTTTTAACCAAGTCCAATGGTGTCCCGTGATCCATGTAACGTAACCAACCTCACCTAATTGGATAAAACTATTGTTGTGTTATATAGAGCCTTGTTTGGATAAACTTCCCAACGAGCTCTTCTAGGAAAATAAAATCAAAAGCAAAATGAATAAAATTTCTTCTATAAATTTAAAATAAACTTATGTACTCAGCTTTTGGAGAAATCAGGTGATGGGGATTTTATGAAAGTTGAAGTGCATAAGTTGATTTTAATTTTTGAGAGAAGTTTATTCATTTTACTTTCATATTTTCTTCTCCCATAAATTTCTACAAAGAAGTTTATTCAAGCAGGTTCTAAGTGGAGTCAGTCTAGTGTGTTGGCTGTGATGTTGTAAATAGTTATTGTTTAATATATACTCAGATACGTTTTACAGGGTTTTACCTGTGCAAATTTATGGAAAACATACATGGACTGATACTTCTTTTGAATGAATGCTTTGATCCTTTAAATATACTGTTTCGTCAAGAGTTAAGTCCCATTTTTGCTTCTGGCGTTTTTAACTGTTTCAAGTGTGATTGGTACTCTGACAACACAGAAATTTCAAATTTGTGTTCTCCCCACCCAAATGCTACTTGTGTGAGCGATTGTATTTAATTTTGACACTTAATGTCAGGAAGCATATGAAATATGGAGTTGTTTGCATTTTTCACAGATGGACCTCTCTTGACGTTGAAGATAGCTCTGTGGATGACTTTTGTGGCCTTGTAATGACAGCGGGAAAGTCTGGCAGTTTTAGGATGTCAGAGCCTGTAAAGCCTCCACCTACTAAGAAGTCTCGTAGAGATAGAAGCAGGGGTAAATCATCTGGACGATCCTGTACAACTGAAGTTATGGAACAAGAGATTTGGAAAGATTTTCCTGAAGATTTATTTGAAGCTGTGATTGCACGACTTCCCATTGCTACATTTTTCCGCTTCCGCTCTGTCTGCCGGCAGTGGAATTCCATGCTGACTTCTCAAAGTTTTTCTCAGCATTGTACTCAAGTTACACAAGCAAATCCATGGTTTTACACCATTACCCATGAAAATGTGAATTCGGGAGCCATGTACGACCCTTCTTTGAAAAAATGGCACCACCCAACTATATCAACACTGCCCACAAAATTGATTGTTTTACCCATGGCTTCTGCTGGTGGTTTAGTTTGCTTTCTTGACATTGGTCATCGAAACTTCTTTGTTTGTAACCCACTGACTCAATCCTTCAAGGAATTGCCTGCTCGATCAGTTAAGGTCTGGTCGCGTGTTGCTGTAGGGATGACAATAAATGGAAGCTCAGCTGGTTCAGGCTACAAGATCTTATGGGTGGGTTGTGATGGAGAATACGAAGTTTATGACTCAGTCAGGAATTCTTGGATTCGTCCAGGAAACATGCCTGCAGGTATGAAGCTGCCGCTGTCGCTCAACTTTAGGTCTCAAGCTGTCTCTATTGACAGCATGCTTTACTTCATGCGCTCAGACCCAGAAGGGATTGTTTCTTACGATATGGCAACTGGGGTTTGGAAACAATATATAATCCCAGCGCCATTGCATCTGACTGACCACACTCTGGCTGAGTGTGATGGCCAGATCATGCTCGTGGGTTTGCTCACGAAGAATGCAGCTACTTGTGTATGCATATGGGAGCTGCAGAAAATGACACTCTTGTGGAAGGAGGTTGACAGAATGCCAAACATATGGTGCTTGGACTTTTATGGGAAGCACGTTAGAATGACTTGCCTGGGGAACAAAGGCTTGCTCATGTTGTCCTTGAGATCAAAACAAATGAACCGATTGGTTACTTACAACATAGCAAGGAAAGAATGGCTGAAGGTTCCTGGGTGTGTGGTGCCGCGTGGGAGAAAACGACAGTGGATAGCATGTGGTACTGCATTTCATCCGTGCCTGACGGCTGTGGCATGATTTCGCTTTTATCTCTAACAGCAATGACATGTCATTTTTCCCCGCCAGTCTCTGTAGTTCTTTGCAATTAGCAGGTCTTTGGTGGTGTTGTACGTAATCCTAATGTTCATTGCTGTTTAAACAAAGTATTTGAAAAATAATATGCGTTTGTGATTCATGTCTTTTCATACTCTCAGAGGCATGTAAACACTACTTTGGTTGTGTTGGGAATGCCTCGTCCTGGGAACACCTTGGTTAAAGGTGATATAAAACTGCAGTTTCTTTTTGCTTTCAGTAATTGCATAGTTTTAGTTTTTTGTTCTTTGTGTTCTAAGGAGAGGAGAGAGGATCTTTGACGAGGTCTTCTGGATGGAAGTGAATATAGTTTTCAATTCATAGGTTCCATTTAGTTGCTAAATTCACCGCTTTGCTAGGTTGTGAAAAACAGGTGAAACCAAATTCACACTCCTGGGTGTCACTCATCCAGAAGTAATTGCCTACTATGATGGAGGATGCTTCAACTTTAAGTGCCACCGTTATAAAATTGTACTGCTAAACTAGATTTTGCGCTAGGTGGAAACTCATTCTTATACCCTGTCGAATGTCTAAACAAATATGGAGCTTTGACATTGCGAAATGTTCTGGTGTCATTTGGCCACTCGATGCTGAAACTTTGCATTGTCGAATGAAAACCTTTGATGTTCTAGCATAGTTTTGTTTATTTTCTGATACGAATGATCTCCGTCATTTTAGTTTTCATGGTGACTTTTCAACGAGTAGCCAGTCAAAGAACAGTTAGAACCTCTTCCAGAGTATGGTATTTTTTAGAACTAAAATAATAAATTTGAGCTCGAGATTTTACACGCTTTCATCAGGTTTTAAAGCTATCTTATGGGGTAGAATAAAAAAAAACATATAACTGCGTATTGATTATTGATGAATGTTTTGTTTAGACTGGAAGATTGGTTTTCTGATCTTGGATGTTGCTGACTTTTTCTATTCCAGGCATGTATTTTCTACGCAAGACTATCCTATCTATCTAAGGTATAGCATTAACCTAATAGACCTGCTTTATGGTTCAATTCCACCGACCAAATATAAAGGCTTGGATTTATGATTTACTGTTGCATTGCCTGTTCAATTATAACGCAAAATTGATCGAAAGTTACATGAAAAAAATATTTTCTTTTAGGAAAATTATACATTTTATAAACGTGCAAACTTTCAATCCACTTTAAGTTTCTAACCAATAGTATAAGTGGAGCTATATTTCATTTAAAATTCCTAAACATGAACAATGAATGAGAAAAATATTTCATTTTATTTGATGTTATTAAATAAAGTTGATAATTCTTTTAAGTTTTAATAAAAGATAATTTTAAGAATTATTCTTATGATCGAAAATAAAAGTAGAGGTAGGTGTTTAAGTTTGGACTTAGGGGTCAGTACGTAGTCCAGTCCAATTAACTATTGCAGACTTTGGGAGATGCTATTTGCACTCTCTTTTATTATTAAAAATTAGAAAAGAGTGTGCGTGAAAGAGAAGCTGAGAAGAGAAGAAAAGTGTGAGAGAAGAGAAGAAAAGTGCGAGAGAAGAGAGAAAGGGAAGTGAGATGGATCCAGACGCATTGGCAAAGGCATTCGTGGAGCACTACTACTCCACCTTCGATTCCAACCGCAACAATCTGGCCAATCTCTACCAGGAGGGTTCCATGCTCTCCTTCGAGGGCCAGAAGATCCAGGGCGCCCACAACATTGTCGCCAAGCTCACTTCCCTTCCCTTCAACCAGTGCCAGCATTCCATCACCACCGTCGATTGCCAGCCCTCCGGCGTCAACGCCGGCATGCTCGTCTTCGTCAGCGGCAACCTCCAGCTCGCCGGCGAACAGCACGCCCTCAAGTTCAGCCAGGTACTCTCCTCCACTCTCTTCTTCCACTGTTCTAATTCTTAGGGTTTTGTAACGGATCTAATCTATTATACTCTCTCCCCAAATGAATTAGGTTTTGATCGGATAAATTTATCCATAAGTTTTTATACAAGAAGAATATATTAGAGATGAATGGATTACGATTTGTTTTCAAGATTTATTAATTCTCTATGCATGACTGAAGTTTACCCCGTTGGAGAAGCTTAAAAGTCATTTCATTTTTTTTTTCTCGCTTGGGAAGTTTCTTCGGATAGAGCCTGACTCACTCTGGGTCCACCTGCTGATCTTGTTTTGTGGCTGTGCTCCATATTTTTTTTTTTCGATTTAAATTTCTAAATTAGACTTTTGGGGGTGTATTGCTTTGCATTTGGCTTGCCTGAATGAAGTTGAATTTTTAGAGTAAACAATTGTTGTGTCAATAGTTTTCCACTTGGAGTATTGAGTTAGATAACTCGATGTTCCTGAACACTTCATTGTTAGTAGGATGTGTTTGCTGACTCGTGCACTATTCCTTTTGATTTCCTCTCAATTCCTCCAAGTAAGAAATTTTATTATTTCAGGGGTGTCTGACTCATATGGTATGAAACCTATGCGGAGTAATATCTATGTGGACAGTTGTCTTTTGGTAATATATGAAGGTGTTTGAGATTTATGTAAAGGAGGTTTTGATGTGATTACAGATTACAGATTAAAATTGCTAATTATTATTTCTCAGTGATAGAACTGCAATTATTTGCTGTAAAAGCATCAGTGTAACTTCATGGTCAATTGATCATCAATGTCATTTCTTTTCTGCTTTAGTTTGTCAGCTAGTCTACTTATTGCGTGATTTATGTTATTAGTTATCATTCTTAGATTACTAAACATGTTGATCTTTTTGTTCTCAGATGTTCCATTTGATACCAACACCACAGGGAAGCTATTATGTGTTGAATGACATATTCCGGTTGAACTATGCATGAGAACAACCGTTGAGTATGTCGACATGAAAGGCTATATATTAATTTTGCCTACAGCTGTCTTGCTTCAGACATTTTCATTTGAGAATGAGCTCTTCTTGGTTCGTGTTGAACTCATAGTTGTGCGTCTTCTGTTTAGAATTTTGTGTTGCGATTGGTTGAAACGCTTTCTTTCAATGATAAATTGTTAAAATTGATGCAAATTGGAGGGTGTCAACTTTGATATAAATTTGCTTCGAATATTGTTTACAAAGTTTCCCCCCTAAAAGTTTGTGTATGCATGTCTCGTATTTTGTTATATTTGATATTATTGCCAATTTTAAATGTTTTTGTTTTTTTTTCATCGCGATGGCAGGCGCGAATGAGCTAGCCATCGCTCGATTAACGTTCTGAATGAGGAGCCAATTTGTTTTTTCCCTCGTTGAGATATTTGTGCTTTGTGATAGACTACACACTGTGTATGTGTGATTATTTTTAAATAGCAGTGGTTGTCGCAGTAATCACTTGACTTAAGCAGCCATTTGGTTCCTGGAGGGGTTTATTGTTGGATCGTGTTTGACGGAAAAGGATCACACTCATTTCTAGGGGTAAAAATAGATTTAGTCCCATGGAAAAGTACCAAAGGTCCTAAAAAAAGTTCAGGGTAAAAGAAATTTATGATTTAAATAGAATAAGATAAATTTAGGTCTGAGTTATTTAGGTTTGATTTAAATGAATTTAGATTAGGTTAATTTTAAGGTTTATGAGGTACTTCGTTTTTATAAAATAATAAATTATTTTATTAAAAAAATATATGTATAATAAATTAATTTGATAATATATTTTGTTATATATATATATATATATAATTTAGAAGGAATAATAAATTTTAAATATAAATTTTATTTATTTTAGTTAATTTTTTTGTTGTTGTTATAGTTATTTGTAAGAACTAATCATTTAAATAAATATGTTTTTAAAATATCATGATATAAGATTAATGGTTGGTTTAAAATAATGAAAATTTGATTATAAAATTTAGAGAAATATATTATTAAATATGATTTTTAATTTAATTATATTGAGAAGTTGACACGTAAATAAAATTTGAATCATAACTTTAAATTAATTATTAAAAGAAATGTTATCTAGAATATATTTGATTTATTTATAAATAAGTATAATTTATGAAGATTACTACTTATTTTATTATTTTATTTAAGTTAAAAATAATTTGTTAATCTATTTATTTATATTAAACAAAAAATTTTACTCTATTGTAAAATATAAAAATTATTAATTTTTTTTTTACTTCAATATGATTAGATTATATTTTTTTTAGTTTATAATAGGATTAATCCGTAGAGCCCTTTGGACAGGCTACTCATTTCTAACCCCACCAAATCTACATTCTTCTTAAAAAAGAAAAGAAAAGAGTAGTATAAATGTTGCAGGTGTTAGTGTTGTGAGTTAAATTTGGCGTTGGAATTTGGAAAGCACTGTTCAATGGTTAATGTTGAATGCGTTTGAATAGACAGTGAAGACAAAACTCACGGTATTCCACCATGATTTAAATCATACTAGATGAGTAGCTTTAAAGCTATCATACCTTTTAAAAAACTAGGTTTATCACGTTTTCAAAAACACATTAATATTATAAGAATTTTATGTAACAAACTTCGAGATAAAAATGATATAAATAAATTTATGCATAATCTGAAAATAAAAATCTAGAAAAGATTGAGATTTTTTATTTATAAATTTATGAATAAATTAATTTTGACTAATGATTTTTTTTTTTAACTTTCCTCTTCTACAAGTTGTTTTGTCCAAAATAAATCTTAACTATACGATTGGATTAAAACTGAAAAAAAAAAAAAATAGTAAGGTTGAGTTAAGTATCAACTGGTTCCTATCTCTTCACATTAGTAACGTGAAACTACGGTGAAGATACAATTCCTTTATATCAAATATACTTTGAGTGAATTATTGAAGACTTAATTTCTTTTGTAACTTGCAAACATAATGAGTTTGTTTCTCTCTAAAAAAGTGTTTAAGGACAAAGAACTTCTTATTGAGTTGATATGAATTTTTTCATGCATATGACACTATTTTTTGGCTAAAAGTCCACTCAAGTTCATATTTCTTATAAGAACGCTATGTGATAAAACGGTTTCAGGAATCAGTAGTTTTCTGATACACATGATCTTCATAAGGGGCAAGTGTAGAACATATTTGCATCTAAGTGGGGGAATGATACTAAGAACTATAAACTCCGAACTTTTAGAGAAGAGAAAAGTTAGAGAAAGAACATTTTTAGAAAGAGAACTGTTGAAAGTCCCACATCGCCTACCTCATGTCATTTGGTATGATTTAAATACATGTTAAGCTACTCTACATATAGCCAATTGGTTTTATGTTGGAACCTTAACATGGTATCAGAACCAAAGTCTAACATCTTTCCGGTAATTATCATGGGCCAAAAGTTGTCCTTTAGTTGGGTCAAAAGTATCATTTGCCTGGTATGGCAGGCTTCGTTGGAGGGGGCGTGTTGAAAGTCTCACATCGCCTACCTCATGTTATTTGGTATGGTTTAAATACATGTTAGACTACTCCACATATAACCAATTGGTTTTATGTTGGAACCTTAACAAGAACTTGTATTGATATTTCTTTTGTTTCGTTTTGAGTTATAACATTACACGCCCTTCCTATTTATAGACAATCTACACAAGCGAAATTCAAATTTTCGCTAAACTAAAATGAACTTTGGACCCGAAATATTATACAAAGTGGAATCCGAAGATAAGGTTGCGATCCACACTTATTATGGCCTTACAAAAAGACAAGGCAAGATAAGATGACACGAGATATCTTGTCATCAAGATAAGATATGATAATATACCATATCCCTTTAGATAAAGTAAAGTAGATTCAGTCTCATCTTTATTAACACGTTTGCAGAGTTTGTAATGGACACGTGTAAAGATAAAAGAATCGTGCTTTAGTAGCATGTCACGATGACAACCATTAACTAAAACTTTTACTTTAGTTAGATCTCGTGGAGCCAGAATGATTCATCTGCTGAACCTCGCTTCTTGTTATACTCCCATGTAGTAGGTCCCAATATGAATATATTTTCTTGTGCATCATCATTTCCTCCATCAATTCCTCGTTGTAATCATTAATTAAGTCTTCAATCTTTTAGAATTCTTCTTTGGGTACGTAGATCTTAGTCATTGATTTGAAAAACCTTATCTATTGAGATCCATCGTCTTTCGGTTAGATCTGGTGGAGCCAGAATGATTCATCTGCTGGACCTCGCTTCTTGTTATACTCCCATGTAGTGGGTTCTAGTATGAATATATTTTCTTGTACATCATCATTTCCTCCATCAATTCCTCGTTGTAATCATCAGTTAAGTCTTCAATATTTTAGAATTCTTCTTTGGGTACGTAGATCTTAGTCATTGATTTGAAAAACCTTATCTGTTGAGATCCATCGTCTTTCGGGATGTTCTTATTTAGAGGATAAGAACTAAGCGGTCTTTGGGATGAGCTGACAATATTGGGGTCCTGTAACTTTCATCAAGTGGATAGGTCTCGAAGTTGCCCAGATGTAGACTTCATTTCTTGACCATAATTGACCTGTAGGATTTAGAAAGAATGGATGGTGGATGATGAAGATTGAGGTTAAATATTTGAGAGAGTCTTCAGTAACTCCCCTCTGTCTTTGACAGTCTAGAATCCTCTTAAGCTCTTGTCTCCACCAAGATAGTGGTGAGAACCACTCGAGTAAAGTCCATAAATGAAACTTATCCTTATAAGGATTTATCAAGATTCTATAGGCTGTCTGTGTTTTCAATGCAATAGAAATGAAGTATTGAACAATGTTACACTATATGGTCCATAGAGTTGGTTCACAGATATCCTAACCCGATTCACAGAATAATTCAAAAATTCCCCCAAAAGGAATATCTGCTGTTGTGGTTGGGTTTAATCCGGGAGGATAAACTTTGATAGTTTTGACTTTGTTAGAGATAGGTTTGACCATGAAGATAAGAGGAAGACTATATGTGTCAGAAATCAATTGGATAATTTTCTTGGGTCTAGACAAAAAGTCAGAGACTGTGTTTATGTTTCCTTTGATATGCTTAACAGTAAAATTATACCTAAAAAACCAGTCAATTAACCGAAGAATATGTGGACTAGGAGACATTTTATTTTTGAACTCTAGGATCTTTTGGAATGAAGAGTTGTTCATCTGTACCTCGAATTGATGTCCACTAAGATGGAAGTCAAATTTCTTTATTCCATTCTTGACTACCAAGACTTCTTTGAATGTAGTGTGGTAATATTTCTCGGTATCCTTGAATTGTCTGCTGACATTGCCACAGTAGTACCTTCTCCCATTTTCTTCTTCGATGAGCACTGTTCCCCAATAGTCATCATTGACATAAGTTTACAATATCCTTTTTTTTTTCCTGGAATCTTTAGAGTCGGAGGAGTCTAAACTACCTTCTTTAGTTCCTTAATGGCTCTGGTATGCTCTGGTCCCCATGGAGGTGGATTCTTCTTTAAGAGCTTGGATAAGGGACTTGTGTACCTGACAATGTTAGGGATGAATTCCTTGATGTAGTTAACTATCCCAAGAAACTGTTAGATTTGCTTGATAGTCAGATTTTCATCTGGGAAGTTAAGGAGTTCTTCAACAGTGTTAGGTTGAGGTTGATATGAGCCTTAACAATACCCAAAAATTTAATTTTCTTTTAGGCCAAGTGGATCTTCTTCTCTGAAAGCATAATCCCATGTTGATGGGCTATTCCGAAAAATTGATCCAATAACTATTTATAAAAGTCCATATCTTGTGAGAACAATAAGATGTCATCAATTTAAATGATAGCTCTGTCTAGTATGAGCTCAAAGATTTTTGTCATGACTTTTTGGAACAACGACGAGGTTGTCTTAAGTCCAAAGAGCATTACTTTCCATTGATATTGGACATTGGGTATAAGAAGTCTTGCA